TGCTAAGATTTTGCATCTAAAACGGATTGTAGAAGAAATACTTGATGGCTTCAATGATGCACTTAGAATTACAAGAGTTCCTATTAATGAGGCTCAATATTTAGGACAATGTCCTAGTATTAAATTATATAAGGCCTTGTATGATTTAAAATAATCCGGACACATGTGGTATCAATGTCTTTGAGATTATTTAATTACAAATAAGTTTGTAAGTGATCTACTAATCCCTTATTTGTTTATCAAATAAGATAAAATTGGTTTTGTGATCATCGTTGTATATGTTGATGATCTTAACCTAGTAGGCACTACATCTGCATGTGTTACAGCTACTAACCTACTTATACGTGAATTTGAGATGAAAATACTAGAAAAAACAACTTTTTGCATTGGTCTTCATATTATGCATCTAACAGATGGTAGTATTTTTTTCTACCAACTAATGTATATTAGACGAATCTTGTAAAGATTTAATATGATTGATGCTTATCCATTGTCTACACCAATGGTTGGATATGGTTGGGATGGTCATGATTCATACTGTCCATGCAAAGAGGAGGAGTAAATATTGAGAGATCAATATCCATACCTCGCAGCGGTTGGAGCACTTTTATATTTAGCTACACCTATAAGACTAGATATTGCATTTGTAGATAGTGTTCTTGCAAGACATAGTGCACGTCCAATACTACAATATTAGAATGGCATCAAATATTTATTATATTATTTAAAAGATACTGAAGACCTGGGATTATACTACACACAATATGCAGATCCAAAATTGGTTGTATATTGTGATGCAGGATATAAATCTGATACTGCAACAGCTAAATCTCAAACAAGATATGTATTTTTAAGACATGGAGCTACAATATCATAGAAATCAATGAAACAAATACTAAATGCAACTTCATCCAACCATGCAAAAATTATTGCCTTACATGAAGCATCTTGAGAATGAGTTTGGTTGCGATTAATTGATAAATTCATTCAAACAATCTAAGGATTTTCATATGATGATTCTCCAACTATCTTGCATGAAGATAATAGTGCTTGTATTACACAGATATAAGTTGGTTTCATTAAAGGTGACAAGACAAAGCATATTGATCCAAAGTATTTTAGTTATATCCATGACTTAATTATTGATCAAGCACTTATAATTAAAAAAATCGAATCTGCAAATAACCTTGCTGATCTCTTCACCAAAGCTCTCTCATTGTGCAACCTTCCTCGACTTTCTTATAGCATTGATATACGGTGACTTGCTTTTCTTGAATAAGAAAGTTAATGAGCTCTTTAAATAATTAAAAAAAATGATGTTGTACTCTTTTTCCTTCATCTATGGTTTTGTGCCTAAATACAATAAGATTTTGGTAGATAAGGTTTTAATGAGGCAATAATTATTGATCTTACAAGATCATAGAAAAGTATAGATCATGATTCTATACAAATTTTATATTATGTAAATATTATGTTGAACAAAGAGGAGTGTTGAGAGCATTTAATGTAGCCGGCACTTTCCATAGTATTTACTGTAGATAATTGTAAATATCATAGCTATAGTATTTAGAGTCTAGTGGAGAAGAATTGTTTATCCTCTCTCCTTTCTCTTCTTGTATATAAGACACAACCAGATCAATAGATTTTTATGTGTGAATTTCTCTCTCTTTAGAAACCCTCTTGTATGTATAACTTACTACTATTCTTGTGTGTGTGTATTACTTACTACTATTCTTGTGTCTTTATAAACATTCTCAACAAAAACTTCATCAGTGGTTTTTAGATTGCTCAAATAAGTCAAAAAGAAAAATTATTTTTTTTACATTATTATCAATAAATAAAGAAAACTTGTATGAATTGATTGGAGAAATTTCTTAATATTATTGGAAATAAACGGATTTATTTCCAAGAGTAAAGTTTGATTTAAAAACTAAAGAAAAATAAAAAAAATCTTTTGTAAGTTTTACATGAACTTACACATGTCTACTTTTTCACTTTTTATATAGTTAACAAATCAATTTTTGTAATAGATGATGCAAACAAAAGACTCAAAAGAATATAATCAAAAGATCAATGAAGAATCTATTTCTCATTTAAGTAACTATTTTTTGTTTTAAAGACAAAGATACAAATTCTACTTATTAATTATGATTTAATCTAAGTAAAAAATTTATAATTTTAGTTAGTATAAAATAATTATTTTTAATTATTTCTAAAATAATTTGACAATATTTTTGTACCATTTAATTAAATTTTCTATTGTGGGATATCACTTGATTTTCTATTCTAACTAATATTTTTTGAAATTATTTATTATACAAATTATTAATATTTAATCAAAATTATATATTAGAGGAACCATTTATATATTTTTTATAATGTTGTGAAAATCCTATGATTGAATCTATCTTTAGCTACATTGCTCATTGCCATCCTTTCATAGCCAAAACATGTGCATTAACAATTTTTTCTATGGTTTACAAATGCAAAGGGTAATGATAATTCATGTGAGGTTGTCCATTGACTTGGCATCCATAAGACATTGCTGACAGGATATTGTTGAAGATTGTGGAATGGATTGAATAGTGCCAAGAGGAGCAAAAAATTGATATTTTAAATAAAATACAACATTATCACATCTACTCACAAATCCATCTATAATTAATAATCCTCAATCATTAGGGTTGCCAAAGATGGTGCAAATGTATAACATTGTTTAGGAATTGATCTATAGCAAACAAAACCAATTCCCTCCAATCTAACCAATTTTGATTAGTGCATAAGATCAAATATTACATCAAACTAATTTGCAATAGGTAAGATAAGTAACTATGTTAGTAAGATTTGTTTAAGAATATAAGAATCTGTATATAAATCTTCTACAATGTTTCAAAAACTAGCATGTTTTTAAGCACTCATATAACTTCTTGTATAAGAAGTGAGTTGTTGAAAAACAATCCGCAAATGATTATTTGGGACGAAGGAAGGAGAATTGAAACTAGAGATGAGAATATGGACATGGAATGAAGTTGAAAAGATCAAGACAAGGGACGCACATTGAAAACAAGGCTAGGAATGGGAGGGATAAAGATGCAAGATGGAAAGGTAGAAAGGTAGAATAGATAGGTGTGGTCTAGATAGGTAGGTTGATTTATTAAAAACTTTTATCTATTTAACATCTCCATATATATATATATATATATATATATATATATATTTGTCAAAAAAGTGAGTATTTTTTAAAAAGAAAGAAAAAAAAATGGAATAATATATAAAATAATAATAATAATAATATGGAATTCACTTAAAAAGAATTTTTTTAAATGTCATGGTATTGGTTCTAGATCCACCTCCATATGGGGCATTGAGAAGACAAAACTTTTATACCCATTTAGATCCAAATGAAGAGTGCATGCAAGCCTAATTTGTTTTTTCAATGTGCCCCCCTACACCCTGCAACCCAACCCTTGGAACATAGATAAGTAGCCCAAATTAAAGTATAGCCCACATGAAATTAGATGAATAACCAAAGCCGAAGTAGCCAAATTCCGTTTAAAACCTGTACAGTGTATTTAAATAAATTTATCACATTGAGCAAATTGAAGCCGTTGTCATTGCTAAGAATTATACCTAGATTTGCCATACCAAAGTATGACAACTTTATTATATAGAGCAACCATTGTGACACATGCTTTGATCAAAAAAATGTTCGAAGATTTTATGTCAAAAGGTGTAAGAAGATGGTTCTACCCTAAACTTGGTCCTCTAAATATAAAATTTTGTTGGAAGATATTCATTTGTCTGTCTAGTTTGGGGGGCTATTATATAAAGCCTGCTTTCTTCAAATGTTTGTAATTATATATATTTATATATATATAGTATTCTACAAAACGAGTTGTACAGTGATGTTAGAATGTAAAATTTTCAATTATAATTTGAATTATATGCATAGACATATTCTCAAAGATTGAATCTGTTTTTGTTCTTTTGTTATTTTTTACAAAATTTAATGATGTTATGAAATCACTGTAATACACAGTTGTTTAAAATCCAAATATTATATTTGGATATTTTTTCTTATTTTGTTGTAGTTCTTAATGAGGTCAAAAGATGTAGATTTTTTTTTTTTTTGAAGTGACTGTTTGAATCCACATTCAATATTAAACTCTGTGCATATAAAAGATTCTGTTACATAAATGAGTTGAAAATGTTATGGGATATTATTAAATGAGTTTGTGCTCAACATGGGCTTTCATGTCAAGTTGAGGATGCAACTTTTATGGGATTGGTTGACAGAAAGTTCAATCTAAAATTTCAAAGACATGAGATTACTATATTTATTTTTAAATTATTTTAATAAAATGCCTTCTTTTCTAATTTTACGATATATATATATATATATATATATATATTCATTCAGAGTAATATTTTACAAATGAGGCAATTGATTTTAATTATTTTTAAAATAGAAAATAAATTTTAATTTATCTTATTTTTTGTGGTTTATTATTTGTATATTTCTATTGGGAAAGTATGTATTAAAAATTCCTAAAAAAGACCATGTATTATTTCAAAAGTTGAACTTTAAAAAATAATTAGCATCGAATTTTATTAAAATCAAATGAGAATTTATAATTTTGTAATGGATTATTCACGTATTTTAAAGTTTTTTACATTTTTCATCAATTTAAAGAAGATAAAGTGAAATTACTATTTTAAAATACTTCAACTATCTTGTTAATTTGTTTCATCAATTTTAGTTGGATTTTATATATTAACAAAGAATTGTGGTAAAAAGAACCTTATATCTTATATTTCTTTTGAGGTTAAAAAGATCTAGGGTACTAATTTGAAATTTTACATCCAAAAATATCATCTAAAAATCTATTGACACTGAAGTAGATCTTTTTTGACTAATTATTATTTTATTTTATTTTGGAAAAACACATTATCCTTATTTTTAAATTGAAAATAGATGTATGTGATTTTTAAATAAATAATTTTCTAAATTTAAACTTAATAAATTATAGCATTGTATGGAGGACAACAAAAGTACAGGACATGAAACAAACATCTTTTGAAACCACAATTCAATATTCTTTGAAAACATATGTCATATGATTCATTTTAGTTGATCCAAATGAAATTTATGTACACCTAAAAATTCCATCAAACAGGATAACAGTGACAAGCAAAAACAAAAAAATGAAATAAAACAAAATAAAATAAAATAAAATATCCAGTAGAAAATGGATGCTAAAAAATATATTCAAAATGATTATTATAAAACTTTGAAGGTAGGGCAACATTGCACCACCAATGATGTTAGACAGGCTTACAAAACATTGGCAATGAAGTGGCATCCACTAAAAAATCTTATAAATAGTGAAAAAGCACAACTTAAATTTGCTAGGATTAGTGAAGCTTACGAGGTATGTATGCACTATGTTGTTGTGGTGGCATGCTTTTGTTCTTATTTATAATGAAAATATGAATAGTTTGACATTGCACTCATCCTTGTTAACAAATTTTTATTATACACAAAATTGAGTTTCATTGGAAAGATGAATTAGGTTTTGAGCAATGCCCACAAACGTGCCATATACAACACATATGGAGAGGCGGGTCTCAAAGGACAAGCTCCCATTGTGGGAACTGGAACACATGGATTTTCAATGGGAGGGAATACCAACATGTTTGAGTTTGTGCCGCGGATGCCGGAAGAAGTGTTTGCAGAGTTTTGTGGGGGCACAAGCCCATTTGATGGAATGTTTGGAAACCCTAATCCTAGAGCCCACAAATGCTTGAAGCCCACACTTCCCAATCCACCTCCAAAAAGTACATGTGCACTAGTTGTTCCTACAAAAACCCACTTGAAAAAATTAGCGCCAATCACAAACCTCTTACCTTGCACTCTTGAAGAATTGACAAATGGTTGTGTTAAAAAACTCAAAATTGCAAGATCTCTCTTGGATGACAATGGGTAACATATCTTTTGAGCTTAGTTCATTTTTTCCAATCTTTATAAAAGAATTATAATCATGTTTTTTAATGAAAAGGAGACTACTTACATTTAAATATATGTAAATATATATGTACAAAAATCATGAGGCTTTGGAGTGGTGCCAACATGGATATTCATGAAAATTTGCAGCCAAGTTGTGCAGACTCAAGAAGTTCTCACTATTGAAGTTAAACCCGGTTGGAAAAAAGGCACAAAAATCGTTTTCCCCGAGAAGGGCAATCAACACCCGGGAATGATTCCTGCGGACATGGTTTTCCTCATCGATGAAAAACCACATCCAACATTTTCACGAGATGGGGACAATTTGATTAGCATCCAAAAAATAAACTTGGCCGATGCTCTTGTGGGTTGTACAGTGACATTAACCACTCTTGACTTTAGAGTTTTAAACATTCCTTGTTCCAATATAATCAAACCTGATTTTGAAAAGGTTGTGTTCAAAGAAGGAATGCCTGTTTTAAAAGAGCCCGGGAAGAAGGGCAATCTTATTGTGAGGTTTGATATTAAGTTTCCAATTAAGTTGACAAATGAGCAAAAAAAAATTATTAAAAGTTGCCTTGGCAAAGATATTTATTAAAAAAAATTATGTGAAAGAGGTATGTTGTTTTTATTCAAATATTTTTATATTTAATTGAAGTACTGCTGACATTCTTAATATTGAATCAATATAAACAAGTGAATATATAATTGTAAGGGTAAAATCATGAATTTAGGTGACAAACTATTGTGTAATTTGGTACTTTGTAAGTAGTATAATACACCTTGATTGCAAAAGATGATGCCTCGGTATTTAATTCTTATAAATTTTGTGTGTGTATTCAGTTTCATTGTAAATTTAAATTATGCTACTTTTTGAAAAATAAATTTTACACATATATAAGTTAAACATAATACATAAAATTTATTAGACCTACTATGAAAACATGTACTCAGGTACTAATTAATTCTGAGTAAAGACATGTTTTAACTTTAAATATGTGGGAAAAGTACAACTAATAAAATGCAGTAGAATACATATACATAGTGGTATATTGTTTCATATTTTTTGGATTTTTTTTTTTTTTTTTTTTTTTTTTTTTGTGTGTGTGTATCAAGAATATATAAATGTGTGACAAGTGTCGGAACAAATATTTGTACTGTATTGAATTCAGTCATTACAATGATGTCTAATAGTGATAGTTATTTGGATGATTTGCAAAGAAAACAATTTTTTTACACTATCAGAGATGTAAATAAAGTTTTCATGATATTCGTTACTTTCCAGATTATATATATATATATATATATATATATACACACATTTTTTTTCTTTCCTTACACTAATAACATTGAGAGTTGAAACTGACAATTAGTTTGTAATGTCTTGATATAAATTCAAATATCTATATATATATATATATATATATATATAGAAAGAAAGAGAGATAGTAAAAAAACTATAATAATAATCTGAGTACTGTTTGATTATTAATGTGCAATGATCATGGATAGTGCTGGATTTATGAAATAAGTTTTATATTATTATGTTTTTAGTTTTCTGAAAAACGTTTTTTATTCTTCAATTGGCTAAAATTTTGTAAAAATATAGCAGTAGAAGAAGCAAAGAAAAGAAATTAAATAACTAAATAAATAAATGAGAAGAAGAAGAAGAAGAAGAAACATGATTTCAATTTAGAATAATTTGTTATAATCTCTTTGCTATTTCCAAAGGAAGTTTTTAAAGTAGATGATGCATACAAATATGTTTAAGCAACACTATACAAGTTGGATATTTTTTGATACTCCACTGTAATTGATACTTTGAATTTTGCAAATTTGAGGTGTATAATCCTTGAATGATTTATTAAATATTTGATTGGAGCAAATTAAAGTGCTTCAATTAATTCATACTGGAAATTGATTTGTAATCTCATGTGCCCCAATGTGTAAAAATGACTTTGTCTTCTTTCTTTACATTAGGTTGACAACTTCTTTGAAAATGCCATATTGTCACTGTGTAGTCAGTTTGTGATTCATCTATTTAACACACAAAATCAAACATGGAAAGTTGAGTAGAACAGTGTTGTTTATAATTTTCCAGCAATGTTTGGGTGGTTCTGGATTGTGTTTTGGGTTCAAATAATATGTAAAAGAACAGTGCATATTTTTATTTTTAAACTTAAAGATTTCAACTTTTTCAACCTTCTTGATCTTTTACATTTAGATAATTATTTTCATGCATTAGAACTGTCTTCTGTCTTATAATGCATTTCAAAGGTAAATTTTCTATGGTAATGTGGTTTATTTCTTATAAATAAAATCATAAATTAAATAAAATTTAATGAATAAATCCATGCAGATGTAATAAATGGTTCCTTACAATTTTGAATGTCTTGAAATTCTTAAAAAGTGAAAAAGAAAAAGGGGAGAGAAAGAAAAGGATACTCTAGCACTTTATATTGCTAATTGCCTATAGTTCCCAGATTGATATAACTACATAATTTTTTTATAAAAATGGCCAGAAATAATCTATTAATATTTTTTTGAATTAATCAAAATGGAAGTAATTAAACTAGTGTAAGACTCTATAATCATAAATTTATACATTGAACCTCTAATGCAATCGTGATTCAAATTGTCATTCAGTCTTTCTTAGTTGCAGAAGTGAACGTAATATTTACTGAAAGTAACAAAAAAGAAGTTCTTGATACTTTAAGCCTTCAAGCATGAATTGTGATTAAACATGAAAATCACTATTACATTTTATTACAAAACAAGAAAACAGTATATTACAATGCATATGCTTTTCTATTTTTTTAAAAAATCTTTATATAAAAATTAATTAACTGTTTAATTAATTAAGTTAAACAATGTTGTTTATATTAACATCAATTGGGTAGCTATTTTTTTGAATATCTTTGAGATTTTTATGGATAAATGCTCAATTGTATTGATTAATTCAGAAAAAAAAAAAAAACGTTTAGGAAAAAGATGAAAAAAGAATAATTGTGTGCATACAATATATCCTTTTTAATGTATATTTGATTTGGAACTTCTTGACATTAAATTTCTTCGTTCTATAAGCTCAAATGATTTTTTTTTCACATAATCAAAAGTATTGTACGTCTGTTGTATCAGACATAAGCTAAAAATATTGGAATAATGCAAATGGTAGATAAATAAATAATAAATAAATAAAAACACTAGTAGTTTGATGACAGTGTTATTCAAGAATAAAATTAGCAGCTTTTGATATGTAAGTACAATTCTTCCTCCTTAATTTTTGAATTTAAAAAGATATTCAAATGTGTGTTTTTATCTTAAGTTGTCACCCAATCTTTACAACATTTGCATCAATAGCCGTTAAGGTGTTGCTCAAATTTGAACTTCTATCAATGCTTTGGTAAAATTTATAAGTACTACATGGATTGAAACTTGCTTAGAATCCATCATTAATTTGAAATATATATATATATATATATATATAGATAGATAGATAGATATGTTGATGAATATGTATATATATCACAATAGAAACTAAGTAAGGTTGCACCACAGCACCCAACAAGCATTCACACTTGAGTAAACACTTACAGCATTGTTAAAATTTCATTCACACTTATCCTAATGAATGATTTTTACAAAATTGAAACTCTTAGATGTCTTAAACATGGTTGTATGTAATGACATAATGTTAAATTTTGATTATTTGGTTTTAACATACATATGTTACTTGTCGTATCTCATTATGAAATTCTGCATCAATAGTAGTATTTTTCTTTTTCTTCTGAATTGTGTGAGCACTTAAATCTGTTCATTGGTTGTTTGTTTGTTTGTTTTTTCTTAAATTACATGCAATGGTGTTAAAAACACAAGTTTAGCTTAATACGAGAAGATATAGCCATGATAAGGGAGATTTATGAGGATTGACTAAATGGTTTGTAGTTTTGGGTGTTTAGGTTCATCTAGCCAATTATTGATAATGTTGTATAAAATTGAGTTTTAGCAAGTAAATATAGGTAATAAGATAAATTGATCATCTTATTAGACAAGAGGGTTATTTTTACCTCACAATTTTTTTTAGTCTAATTGACTTGTTGAATTGATGGGGGGGGGGGGTAAAATTTAGTAATAATAATAGGAATCTCTAGTGTAATTATTATTTCACAAATATATCATTACTTTATTGTTGTAAAATAATTCCATAATATATCAATTATAAAATCACCAGTGTAATTCCTAATATTATCTTTATTTTAAAATTTAAACCAAAAATATCAATGTTGCAATGCAAATGCTGACTTAATAGAAGTTTTCTAAAAGTGGTATTTTGTGTTGTCTTTCTCTTTACACAAATGAGATTTAGTTTTTTGAGTTATAAGCAAGACTAAGCTTGCTGCTCACTCTAGCATTGCATGGGGCTCATTGCTGATACTTTTTTGTCTTTAATCCAAGAAGGAAAGAGAAATACACATTAAAAAGCACTAGTGTATGAAAAAAAATATAAAAATTCATGCAACTTCTTCAATTTGTTCACATCAACTCAAAGAACCACTGCCTCCTTGGAAGCAACAATAGCTCCCAATTAAATTTTACTAGCACACACTGCCAATAGGTCATGCATGAAAATGATGTAGTAGATCCACAACTGAAATTCAAGTTGTTCATTAAGCACTTGATAATTTCTTGCAAAACAAAACAGTGTTTGTAGTTGCTATGTGTTGCTGTGCATATTTTGCAGCTTGAATTCTAAGTTTTGGAAGTAGCAATTGATTGTACACTATGGCCATTATTTTTGCAGCTCTAGAATGTGTTACACCATCTTCCCTTGCTTTTTGTCAACAGCTAGGGTAGTACATTGTAAAGAAATAATGTGGTTGTGAACTCTTTGCCATGTGTGTTTTGGACTCAAACCACAATTAAAGGCAACTCAATGGACTATCTTCAACCATTTATTATTAGTTGGTGATTTAAGGCTTTTTAAAATAAAATCTAAGTATTAACACTTTTTTATTCTAGAATTAAAAAAAATTAAAACAACAAATTTTGAGCTGATGCAAGTGTTACATAAGTTTGTACAAAGGTCACAAAAATGTTAAAAGAATGGTAAGTAGTTTACATGGATTCGTGGAGTATATCATCATGATATAATTTTTAAGAATGTATAATTAAAGCCACATGTGACATCAATTTTGTTATATTATAGATATACTAACAAATTGAACTATCAAATCAATAGGTTGAGTAAACTTTGTCAAAATTTCAATATGCCCATTCACCCTTAACATGTTGCCACTATAAAAACCACAATTTTACACCATAGCCTACCTCATCTCCACCCACTAATTTATTTATATATATATATATATATATATATATAAATATATAAATATATATATTAGAAGAAATTTTTATATATATATATATATATATATATATATATATCCATATATTAGAAGAAACTCATTTAGCAAACTAAATTAGTAAGTCACTCTGATCATAAATAAATTAAACAAAACAAAAGGAACACCTGTAATCACAATTTCATGGGTTCTCAAGGACCGTAATGTTTGGTAATGAGTAAAATATTACAACATTATCCAAACTTCATTTACATTTGTTTCAATGAATGATTTTCTACAAAATTGAAATCCTTAGACGTCTTGAATATAGTCTTGTGTGTAATGACATAATGCTGGTTTTTGATAATTTGGTTTTAAAATATACATGCTACTTCTTGTACCCTATAATGAAACTCAACATCAATAGTAATATATTTTTTAGTTTAAAATATTTACTATAAATAGAAAGAATTAAAATTTATTAGAAATTTATATCATATTTATTGAAAATCTAACTTTGATGTATTAATTCTGACAGCATATATAAATGGATTGATTTATACCTCTTTCATACAAATCTTTTTGGAAAGATAAAATAAAATAAAAATTATTATTTGGGTGCTTTAAACCTATTTTAAAACTACTTCCACTAGTTTAATTACATAATAGTCAATAAATATAGGATTAATTCGTAAGAATATAAAACTTCAAAGATGCTGATAATTGTATAATTATTATTTGGAAATTGTAATTAGGATAACCAAAACTTCAAAGAATGAAATGGACTTAAAAATATTGGTTATAAAATTTTGCTAACCATTTTTTATTTGAGAGCATCATGTTTTGTAAAATTGCATTTTTGTAGAATGTTTTTCAAATAGGATTCAATCAAAATATTTTTTCCCACTTATAATTAAAGGATAAAAATAAACATGATGAAAAAAATCTAATAGATAATGCTTTGTGGTGAGGTCAAAAATCACAAGAAAAAAAAAACTATATATACAACTCTTCATCAAATGCTCTACAACTGCTTTCCTTTGTTTCGTCTTTTCCTTCTTCGTCTTTGTTGCTTCCTGCTCTTGGTATTGTAACCTGGATTTCCACTATAACTCTTCCTTTTGTCATCTTTGACATGAAAATTTCAAGGCTTGTTTCTCCTACTAACATGCACCTTTGAGCATCCATCCTTCAAAGTATTCCCATAAATCCATAAACTTATAAAATCGTGAACTAGGTTCAACTCCGCTTTAAGAGCCCCTGAAACCAAGCTTGAGCTTGGAGAAATTGTGCAGCAAAATCCTCAATAAACATAAATTTGGATACTTACAAACACTCAAAGTCCCACGTGCTCAAAGCCACAACGATTCTAAGAAGCAGGTGGACTCTGCCAATTACTTCTGAAGATCGAGGAATGATTTCATGAGCCCTTGAAAACCAAAACTGCACAAACAGTACAAAAATTGGATCTTTAGCCATAAGTTCAAATAGAATCAAGTCTATCATCATAATTAAATATGAATGTAACTAACCCAGGAGAAAATCTACTGTAATTTCTAAGATAAATTTCCAGCATTCGCACATCAAGTGAAAATGAAAATTAATCACAGCTTTCCAATCGTATTGCTTTGTCAGGTTAAATCTAAACACATTACAAAAGCTTCATTCGTACCAGTTGCAAAAAACAGTCACCACTTAAACTCACGTTCTTATCCGACTTGGCATAACCTCCTCCTCAACCTCCCGCAATCTATGTCGTTTGGTGTCATAAATCTTCAAGATGTGCTGCATTTCCACCACCGCACACAATGGGTAAATCAAAACGCATGCTGCTACAAAAATTTAATGAAAAGTAGTAAACCAACTCCAGTAAAAACCATCACGATAAGGTTGAGGAGGCAATGCTTCATCGACCGTGAGGTTTAAAACAGCCTTAATAGCCAATTTGTGTTGTTTGTAGTATTCCATAACAGCCAGCGCAGAAGTCGATGATGAGTATCTATTTAAAACAGTTCGTATGTGCAAGTAAAGGAGAAGGACCTCACTCTCCCAGCAGGAGACATCCTCAAGGACTCCATCGTCAAAGCCATATCTGTGGGACAATCTTCAATTCCAGGCAACCATGCTCCGTATCTACGGATCATTCGAAACATTAAAACACAGTTTATCATCTTTATAATCAGAATAACATTTCAGGGTGATGATCATGTTTGATAGTTTATCTAAAAGATGTCTCCTTGAGGCCACAAGAAATCCCAACGATGAGTCTCAGTTGGCGATTCAACTCTTCCCAAGTCCAGGAAGTCGATGTGGTCCCAATGTCATCAGTATTTAAAACTCCGGCTTAAAAACCTGTGATATTAAGACTTTAAAAGCACAGAACGAGTAACCAAGTCACTGCCACCTCTTCGCTACTTCTAAGAATTTAAGTGAAAAGCAAGACTTACTGTGGAGGAGAAACCATTGGCCCACCAAGGGCAGCGAATGTCATATCAGCAGCAGTGAATCTACGACCACAAATATAGGGCCGACCATCTGCAAGCAGTTCGTCAACCTGCCAATGACCGCAGCACGCACAAGATGCAGTTGTATTCTCTCCACTGCTTTCGTAATACATTCATGGGATGTAGAAGTTACAGAAAGACATAAATTATTAAAACAGGAAACAAACTGAAAAGCCCTCTTCACAATGCGACAGACCTTTGTGTACAACATTCCTTTTCTTGCTTACATTGAGGAGAATGGAAAACCAGACTACCTCTTTGAAAATGGCTTCAACAACTTGTAGGGATCTTTCCTTAGCCCCAGGTTTGTTGCAGTACAAGGCGCCATAGACGATGCGGCGTAAGACTGGCATTAAAATCCAACCAAATACTCGTTCCAACATTGGTGCTCCTTGAGTTAACAAATCATAACTACATTGCTCGAACAGAAGGTAGCAGTACGACCAGCGCCGCACGTGGGGACCCAGTTGCTTGTCAAACCTCCATTCTGTACCTTCCATATATCAGTATAACTTTGAGATTCTCTGTGAGATTGTCTGTGAGATTCTCTGCTGGATCACTAGCCGTCACTAATTCTAAAGAATATTGCCTTACGAAGAAAATATGAATGAAACAAGAATTCAGCAGAAGGGGGCGACACAAAAGTATAACCTACTCTAATAAGTTACAGCAGGATTCTCTATGAAAGTGAGATACAAGGTGACGAATCAGATAACATCAACATATCTACACATGCGTTATCAGAGCAAAATTAAATCAACCTGACATTAACACAAATTCAATCTGGATATCCACAGATTCTACGAATGTTCAACCCAATTGAATTCAACCTCAGATTTAGCAACGGTCTAGACGCATGCGGAGGCTTGCGTAGACTTATATGCCATACCCCAAGCTTGGACAAGTCTCTGCATGTCAGGGTCATCCGGATACAGACGATCTTCTTCGTTGCGTATGTTCTTGTCAGCAAATCGTAGGATGTCGGGTGACTCTTGTAACACAACTCTCTCTGAGCTCCTCCCCATCACCAATTTCGGGCAACTTGTACCTGCTCCCAACCCCCTACCCAGCGAGACCATGGAACAAAAAAGTGCCTAACAAAAAGTCAGATTTTGAAGTCATAATGTTTTATTCAAAGTCACAGAATTCACAATCATAGGGTATATGCAGTATTTTGTAATGTGAGTTTGTATATATATATATATATATATATACATACATATACATGCACACACATTGTTCTCGTTAGAGGACGATTCGATCCGTCTCCAGACTTCACCCATATAGTAATTTGCCCCCCTTCACAAGATTCTTTACTCGGCACAAGTTGAGAGAACCCTAACCTGGTGAACAACATGTGTAACACCACCACATGCTTGGTCTCTACGTAAGACACACCAGCTCTTTCTAACGCCCATCGTGCCTGTACCCTTCCAGAACTTCCCGTACCTCAACGAACACGTCTGCAGTTCAGATTGAATCCTCGATTTCTAGTTTATAATATGCCGAACCATACCTACATTGAGTTCATGATGGTTGCAATGGTTGAATCAAGCGTGACCTAGCATTGAAGGTTTTGTTCAACAGATAAAATGTTAGGGAGTGTACCTTTTCGCAGTAGGGTGAAGCACCTGCAGTGACGAACTATCTACAGTTAGAGCAACCAACTCATTTTGATAACCCATGTCTAATGCCAGTCACCCTCCCAAAGCACATCACAACAGTACATGATGGAACTTATCTTCACGAGTTTCTGGAGTGACCTGTAAAAGATGTATTGTAGAGGACCTCTATTCAATTTCCATCTTTCATCAAACTCTACGTTACAACAAACCATCCATCACCAGCACTCACCATCTGTAATAAGTGTCATGTTGGAAGCCATGCTGCAAAAACATTCCCACCAATGGCCAAAATTGGCAGAGAACCACACCCTGCCAATGTGAGCAGTGGGTCAAGGAGAGTCGCAGAGAGGAGCGACGTAGAGACGGTGGGACATCATTTTAGTAACGCTCCTTGAGATCCCATACTTCTACACCCTTCAACCCCCTCCCATCCCAATTTTTTCGGTCTTCTTTTTATATTGTTATAGACCAACAAGCATTAATTCTCAAACTCCATCAACCGGGCGGCCGAAAATGTTCCAATGACTGCGAATCACAACAAGAACGTATGAAAGATTGATATGACCTTCGAGTAGCTGATTATATGTAGCTGCAGCAAATTCCCGAGATGCACATACTCTCCGTTTGCATTCCAAGACAAATGGGACTGATTACCAAACATGTACTCCACAAAGATGCAACTGGGAATGATGTCCAACAGAGTGGAACATTGAAGTTAGGTCACCATGTTCACATTAACATATTGTGTCCTCAACTTAAAAAATCATCACAGAAATCAGGGTTTGGCAGTTTTGCAAATTTTGCCGTTTATCAACAACTGCACCATGAATTAGATCATGAAAACTTACTGGCTAGGATTCATGCCGGCCATAGATTTTAGGATATGGACTGGCTGCGCAGGCAGTTACTACACATTTCGGAGACGTATTCTCCAACAGAGTGGAAATCATGACTCAACTATTGTAAACGGCTATCTTCCGCAAAGATGGCCCCGCATGTTCAGATTAGTTCCACCATACTCCATAGAATGTTCACTAAAGCTGAAAAGACTCGTCTGCGAATTGATAGCATCTCGAAGCTTGGGGCCTTATCGGATTACTTATTCTCCTCTACAGTATTTCACCGCCAGCACTGCAACCATTTATTTTGTAGTATTCAGAATTCTTCGAAAGAGGAATCTGAGAACATTGGGAGATCCTGCCACTACCCCTCCCGTCGGATCCAGGTCCTGGCAGACGGTCCCAATTGTACTCCGGGGCATGTCATTTCGGGCCCGTAGAACCAGCATGATGGTTACAATTTAAATAGTGCGCCTCATTAGTTAGGCAGCAGACAACCGACATCATCGCTCACAGTGATTAGGATGAAGTGCGGATGGACGGGCGTTAATTTGATAAATTCTAGCTTGCGAACCCACGTCCCCCTCAACTCCAAATCCCTCTCAGCTACCATGGAACTTTGAGGCCGACGACCAAAGAAAATGGCGCTCCTCACCGCTTCTCTGCTGTTATTTTTCTAACGTCTTGCTCCCTTTCAGCGTCCAATTTCTGTTTATCTCTCATGTTTGCGCAGTACGTAATTTTATCTCAGAGAAAGTGTGCACTATAACTGCAGGTGAAGCCGAGGCGAAGCACAATCAACGGACCTCCGATTGTGAGGGAACGATTCTACAAGGAACACTAAGCGAAGAAACGACGTGTATGAAAGAAACCATAAAGTTGATTCAGTCAACAACCCCCCAGGGAAACCTAACTTCTTTGAGTTGCATCCACTATTGAACCACTTAATGCATTCGTGGGCCTAGTGCAGGAGCCATCAATTGCCGGTGCATGATTGTACAATCTGGACATCCATGTGATTGAGGTTTGGTTTTCTCGCGAGCTACTACAGCATTGACACAGTATTGATCCCTCAATGCGAACAAATACAATTTCTAGGTTGCTGCACTCGCCCACTAATTCATGCCACTTTCATCCCACAGTTGTTGAAATTGAGTGCCGTTTCCTGTACTCCTCGATGATATGGCAACGACAAACTTCGCGCAATCCTCTCTCCCCATCTCACACAACTTGAGAAGCTTGAAATCTGCAAATCCTAAGTATAAGTTCACACCATGCACGCCATGCAGCCTGTTTGTTATTATACTTCGATGACAACTCCACGAAACAAATCAATCAATGTACAAAAATTCGTGTCACACTCACGCTGCATTCCGATATCACGATCCTATTTTAGGGGCAGATGTGTGCACTGTGCCACACACTTACAAAAGCTCAATAAAGCAAGAATCATACCCACCCAATGAAACTCGAATCAATAAATCTTTAGACACGATCAAAACTCTGAAAAAAACTTCACAATTTTGCGCCAGGATGATGCAACATGAGTGCGAACCTTGACAGCTACTCGCCCAGAAAAACTAAACCGCAGATGGGCGATGAACATAAAATTCTAAAAAGTGCACATTTTGTAATGTTTTATTTCTAGGGTTTGACTGCAAGTCACTCTCGTTGCAAAAAGAACAAGTTGCCAAGCAAATTGTGTGATGGGGTAGCATACATTGTTGTTACAAGAATATTCTGGATTCTGTGCATTGTTGTCAACTTTATTTTAATTTTATCAAGTTTGTTTGTTTGTTTGTTTCTTGTTTGTGTGCAGGTATGATGTGTGCGTACAACTCACATTATATTGTTAAAAAGTGCCAGTTTTTTTGGGGGGTATTGTTTTGCTTTGAGTGTAACGTGTTGAAGCCATGGCATCTTAAATGTTCATGGGAAGGCGGAAATTAATTGTTGTATGAGATCTGTTCTTTATTGTAGCAGTACAGCAACAAAATTGAAAAATAAAAAAATAAAAAATAAAAATAACATCATGTGTTTGGTTAAACCTGGAGAATACATAATTCCATTGAAGTCTATAGAATGTGGCTTTTGGTATTAAACTTAGATGTTAGGTCTCTTTTTATATTTGTCATTTATTCACACTGAAACAAAGCAAAAATTGGCCAATAATTATAGTGATATTTTGGAACAAATGTACATATGAATAGATGCATGAAAAGGTGGATGATAATTTTGATAGATGGATGTTTATAAATAGACAACATTGTCTTAAATGTGTATTGATTGAAGATATTGCACAATAATGATGTAATTATCTTGGAATATTAAAACTTATTTGATTGAAAATGAATAGTTTGTTATTATTTTGAGACATTATTTATATCATATATTTAAGACATTATTCAATAATATCTGTCATTATCACATTTTATTGGTGACACTAAGAAGCTCTCATCATTACTATATATTATTTTCATTCAAAAATTCAACGACAAAGTCTATGTGAAGGATAATAATTGGCACTTGATTTTTGCATCAAGCCACACTATGTTTGTGACAATACAAGTATAAACACAATAAAAGAATCCAAAAGCACCTCATAAATAAAATTAAAACAATAGATTGTGAAGTTTGAGAACAAAAAAAAATCAAATAAGTCTTATTTTTTTAAAATGATATAATGCAAAACAGATCTTTAAAACACCATCTAAGCCATGGGCCAACGTAATTGATATTTTGTATTATAATAAGAATAGATCTACAATATTTACAAATTTTTCATATTTAAACTATTTAAAAAAACTAAAATATTTAAAATAATGCATATATATATATATATATATATATGCTTACTAGTAGAAACTTGTGCTGTTGGCCAAAAAAAAGGTATAAAAGTTTAATTTGTGATTTCTTAGTCAAAAATTGACCACTCCTAATAAAAATTTTGACCATGAAAAAAAACTATATATATATATATATATATATATATGCATAGTAATAGAATCATTTATGTTTCTACACTAAAATTGAAAAATATAATTTTTATTTACTACAACTTAAATAACTAAGTTAAAAGAACTTTAAGATAAACTACATTTATGGTGGTGTTTTTGTTTTTATAGTTTTTAGGATATAAGATCTTAATCAAATTCAGAAAAGTAGGAATCCTACTATTGAGCACAAAAAAAATATTCTTGTATATTTTTGTGAGTTCTCATAGGTTCTCATATGTTCTTGTGAGTTCCTATGGATTCCTATGTGTTCTTGTAAGTTTCTCAAGTTTCCATGCATTTCTTGAGTTTCCATAGGTTCTTGTGTATTCATTGCATTCTTATTAAATGTAACTAATCAATTTTAAGAAAATTTGGTATTATGGTTGATTGTGCTTATAAAACATGTATTAATAATAATTCAATGTTCAAAATCAGTCTTATCATTAATGTCTTAGAAAACATGTCTTATCATTAATTTATTATTCAAAATCAAGTAGAATTTATTTATTTGGTTTATCACAAATGATCAAGCTTTTTGTTTATAAATTTATTTTATATCATAAATACCCACAATATGCACCTGTTAAGTAAAAAAATTAAATTAATTAATCAAATAAAATGTTTTTTTTTAATTAGGTTCATTTTTTTCATTGTTTTAGATATATGGTACCCAAAAAAACTTTGCATCAAATTTCTACAACTTACAACATCATATGATGAACTAATGCATTTTTTTGCTTATTGTTTTTTCATTTTTAAGATAAATATATTTTTAAAATACAATGATTATAAGATCATCTAAATCACTCTCAAATTCATGCATGGTGCTTGTTTCAAATAAGTTCACTTTGATTTACAACAAAGCCTCTTTCTACCATCTCTTAACTCATTATTGTCAACTTTTTTTACATGAAGGATCTTGGATTTTATCAAAAGGTTCCAATTTTAAAAGTTGCCACTAATTTTTAAAATCCTACTCCTTCCATGTTGTACCATTCTATTGATGAGATAAACAAACTTTAACCTTTGTTAGAAAATTGTTACTATAATTCTTGATTTGCAAATCTTCTATACTTTAAGAGTGGATCTTGTCTTCTTTGTCACTAGGTTTTGACAACAAATCTATTAAATCATGCCACAATTGAAGAATAATATTTTGAATGTGGATGTTCTAGTTAGTCTATTATTATCTATTTATTTTGTATATGTTACTACAATTTCACATCACAATTGTTCATTAGATGCATCTCTAATAGACAAGTTTGTGTTGACAATCTAAGTGGAGGCTAATATATCATGAACTGAGCAAACTTCTCCTAGTAGATAGATGAAATTGTCTAACTTTGTATTGGTATACAATCAACTCATGAAGCATATTGTACTCATTCAAACTGTATTGTGTACACATTATCAAACTCATTAAAATAATCTTCAATCTAAAAACATCTACAATCTATAATTTCTTAGCTTCAATACACATGATGTATCATATACCACAATTTGACAACACCAATGCACCTACAGTAATAAGAAAATAATTCTATTCAAAAACATTTTACTCAACTCATGTTTATCACATTATATAATGTCAATATACAATAAAGTACTTAATCTATGTAGGTTGCTATCACAAAAGGCTTGTCCATTTTCAACATTTTAAAAGTATATTTCTATTTTTTCTTTTGCCTCTATTTTCACTCTTTGATTTTTTTTAAAGTAATACTTTTTCATTCAATAATCGATTTCACAAAGCAATTATGAAGCCATCATATTCTTTTTGAAATGATTCTAAATTAATCAAAATAAACAAAACCAATAAAATCAATTTCTGATATGATAGAAATTTCATCTATTCATTAGAGTGTTAAATTTGGAAAAACTTTAAAATAAAGTGATCGCTAACTTAAATACCATTACCTTTAAGAGATTACAATTATTTGCACAAATAAAAAGTCTCAAATCTTAGTATTTCATGGTCTAGGCTAAACTATTTTTTTACCTTTTTGATGATAAATATGATGTTTTCAACTTATTCAATCATGTCATCTTTGCTATTTATTAAAGGATTTTCTTCAATTCACAAAAGATGTATTTCATTTGGCATATATGTCTATACACTTATAAACAATCCTTCCTTCAGTTGCTCTCATATCTTCTTTTCTATCATTGTTTGTACTTGAATATGTCAAAAGATCATCTAACCACTCTTAAATTTGTAGTGAGGCAGAATGTATGGAATATAATCCAAAAGAAACTATATAATATGACACAATGATTTTATATTTTATAGTCATTTTTAAATCAAAAATAACCTCCATTGCAACATTATAAACACTTCTTCTTTCTGTGATTGCAAGAGCTTTTTAGTGTCTAATGTAAACTCTATAAGCTTTGTTTTAAATTTATTTGTAACATTGTAGTTTACAAACTTTGTATAATTTGTTTCCTTGAGTTTTTCTTGATCCTTCTCTAAATAATAAATTGATTTTTCCATTCTTTGCTTTGGACCTCAATCTAAATCTTTATACTCTCTATAGATTCTTTGAACTCTCTACATATCCTTTATAAGTTTGCAATTATTGTATTATTTGCATCATAATATATATACTCTCTAAAATATATATTCATTTGTACTAAGAAATGTCATTGGATAATTTTTAAATATCTCAATATAATTATTTATAAAATTTATAAAATTACTTAGATTTAGAGGTTCATTACTTTGTGAGTGTCACAAAATAAAGGTTTGGCATCCAACTTAGAAAGGAACCAAGAACAAATCTACTTAGAAGATAGTCAAGATGTACTAGCAAGCAACTTTTGCTCCTTCAACTTTGCCAAAATCACTCTTGCCATCTTATGTGTAGATTATTGAAAACTTGGCAAGATTACCATAGAAAATATCTGTCTTCTATCTTTGATTTTAAGACTTTTTAATTAATTGAATCAAGCAAAAAGATATATACAAAAATAGATTTATGACAAGCATATAATTCGATATGCATTAATAAAGGCATAAATAAAAGATTGTATTTTAAACTAAGTATGAATATTTTGAGTATATTTTCATGACTTTTGGACTTACAAATACACCAATTGTTTTTTAACATCCTATAAGTGATATTTTTTACCAGTTATTAAATGATTTTTTTCTATATTATCTAAATGATGTTTTAATATACTCTTAAAATATTAAAGAGCATAAATTTCATATTTTTTTTATATCTATTAAAAATTCAAAGATGCAAGACTATGGACTAAGATAGAAAAGTGTGTATTTTATACAACTCAAGTTGATTTTTTAAGATATGTCATTTTAAATTTTAGATACAAGAAGAATTTGATATTAATCTTTTATTTTTATTTTTTTTGTAGCTTCAAATATGAAAGGCGATTAAAATCTTTGTACTATCATGTGATATTATTTAAGATCTAAAACTCTTTATCATCAACTGTATAGAATTTTTTATCCATTTCCTTTATCCCAACAACCATAGTCTTTTATTTCTATAGATTTTATTAAAGATCATTCAATTTCATATTTTTATTATTCTATATTTGTCATAGTAGATTTTTTGATTACATGACATATTTTATACCATGTACAAAATCTATCATAAAAAATAAAAATAAATAAATAAATAAATATCTATTTTTTAAAAAA